TCCCAAACGTCTTCCATTTAAGGATTATGGAGGCCCCTGTGCTCTTAGGAACCTTAAGTGCAGCAGAAATTTTTTTTTTAACCTTGGCCAGATCTGTGCCTTGCCACAATTCTGTCTCTGAGCTCTTCAGGCAGTTCCTTTGACCTCATGATTCTCATTTGCTCTGACATGCACTGTGAGCTGTAGGGTCTTATATAGACAGGTGTGTGGCTTTCCTAATCACGTCCAGTCAGTATAATCAAACACAGCTGGACTCAAATGAAGGTGTAGAACCATCTCAGGGATGATCAGAAGAAATGGACAGCACCTAAGTTAAATATATGAGCGTCACAGCAAAGGGTCTGAATACTTATGACCATGTGATATTTCAGTTTTTCTTTTTTAATAAATCTGCAAAAATGTCAAAAATTCTGTGTTTTTCTGTCAATATGGGGTGCTGTGTGTACATTAATGAGGAAAAAAATGAACTTAAATGCTTTTAGCATATGGCTGCAATATAACAAAGAGTGAAAAATTTAAGGGGGTCTGAATACTTTCCGTACCCACTGTATATTCAGTTTTACTTTCATTTAAATGCAGAAAATCCTGAGCTAACCATTTCTTAATATCTCGAATGCAATTATATAATAGGGCAAGTGCATTCGAGTCGGATTGTAGCAATGGCATGTAAATCTGAATATCATCAGCATAAAAATGAAAATTAACATTGTGGCTTGATATAACTGAGGCAAGTGGCAGCATATATAAGGAAAACAGTAACAGAGCTAGGATCGAGCCTTGCGGAATGCCAAGGTGAGAGGAGCTATGTTGGAGGAAAAGCCATTAATATTAACAGAAAAGGTTCTGTCTGTCAAAAAAGAGATGAACCAATTTAAAGCCACAGCTCTCAGACCGACCAGAGGCTTTAACTGTAGTACACATTTATTTTTTAAGCTGGGGCAGATAAATTGGGATGAAAGAATCTAGAGTCTGCGATATCTGCAACACAGGCACTGCATAGGGAAAGGGCTTGGGAATATTTTGCCTGATGGTCCTAACTTTATCAGTGACAATGGGCACAGTGCCAGCGGGGTTGATGAGTGAATCAATAGTTTTAAAGAGAATTCTTGGATGGTGACTACTGTCCGAGATGAAGTTCGATAAATATTGAGTTTTAGCATCCTTTATCGCCTCCTGATATGAAATTAAGCAGCCTAGGGAGACGTACAGGCCATCCTTTTTCCATTTAGGCTCCGCCTGCCTGCAGCATCTCCGCAGGGCACAGGTGGTATCATTCATCCAAGGGTCAGGGAAGTTTCTTGCCCTCTTCATCCTAAAGGCAATGACGGAGTCCATAATCCAGGCGCAGGTAGAGTTCAGGGTAGAGAGGAAGGCATCAGGACATACAGGAGGATTTTGCGCTAAAATAAT